ATATTCAATAATAAGCGAACTAAGGATGAAGCTATTATTTCAATACGCGTTGCACTGACTCTAATATTTATCAAAATTGAAAATTGATTTATCACGGTAAACTACTTGGACGGTTTAATTAGGGGCATAGTGCAACGAGTACAGTGCACTCGTTGCAAATCAGCTCACAATATACAATTCAATAATGTAACTAACTACTTAACATGCAAAATTCATGCAACTCCTGCGAAGAATTAGATTAGTAAATCACAATTCATGAAACAAATTCAAAATTCATTTTTCAATAGCATAGAAAATATCATAAATACTGAAAGAAAATGAAATTATAGATTGCTGGAAGAAAAGTACATATTAAATTTAGAAATAACCTGTAACGAAAATTTATTTCATTAATGGACAGCTGAAACGCCGAAATATTTTCATTAGGCAACCTCTCAAATTCATTTCGATATCCTATTCGACAAGTACGAAGAACAACAATAACAAACTGAAATCTCGATTTCCCTAAACCCTCAAAACAATCTCGAAATACGTTCGATAATAATTTTCTCGCGTGTATTAACGACCCGAAGGATTATTTAAATTTATTTCAAGCAAAAAGTAGCAGTAGTTCAGTAGTAAATAGTGGACTATTAGACTTTGAATAGTCCAAGTTTAAGTTTTAATAATTAGAAAAATTAGAAAAATTCAAAGCAGAGTATTCAAAGTCTAATAGTAAATTTCAGAAAGAAATTTTGAGAGAAGGTAGTTGAGTGTGTATAGGGTGGACATAGGCTGCTAGCCAGAAGCCCTCGACCACCCTACCCACGTCTCAGTACCCTCAGATCAAAATTACGCGAAGTGTCTAGGGCCCAGTATAAAGGGTAAATGATTTCGCGGGAGCTCGCGGGTCTATTTATACCTGCGGTACCCCTTCCCCAAAATCATTAGCAAAGTCGTTAATAATTCGGGCGGGAATCGACTATTTTTCGCGGGAATCGACTACTTTGCGCGGGAAACGGACTACTTTGCGCGGGAGATCGATCACTTTTCGCGGGAAATCGATAATTTCTCGCGGGAATCGGTCACTTTTCGCGGGAAATCCTTCGTTTTTCGCGGGAATCAATTATTTTTCGCAGAAAATCGCCGATTCTTTCGTAATTCTATTTTGCATTCTATTGTAATGTTATAATAACGTATAATTTATTAATTCTCACAATTTTTTGGTATAAATTTATACTTCTAACAATTTGTTATAACATTGCATATAACAATTTATACGTTTTTACAATATTCTTCAATGGAAACGTACGTTTTAACGTTCTCGTTACTTACTCGTGCTTAAATTAATTTCGTAAGGATTAAAAATCAGGTTGACCTGTGGTCGTAGATTAAAAATAACCATAGTACAGCTAAATTTATCGTGTTAAATAATCCTTTTTACACAAATCAAAAATGTATTCAACGTTTGTTTCTTATAATATCGTGAAATGAATTATTTGTGCAGTTCTGTGCATTTTCTGTGCAGTTCAACCTAATTTACTTAAATTTACGTTGCGAGACAGTAAACTTACTGACTCTTGTAGAGAATTTACTGTACTTTGTCCAGTTTGGTGGAGAATATCGTTTAAATGCAATGGAAGTTTACCTGTGTTTTTCTGAATTTCAAAAATTCAGGCAGAATTGTAATTTATCAATTTTCACAATTTTGTTATAAATTTATACTTCCGACAATTTGTTATAACATTGCATATAACAATTTATACGTTCTCACTATACAAACTCGATTTCTTCGAGAGAGATAAATCATTTCGATAAGTACTAGTTGTACTTTGTCCAGTTTGGTGGAGAAAACGTATAATATAATTTATTTCACGATATTATAACAAACAAACGTTGAATACATTTTTCATTCGTGTAAGAAGAATTATTTAACACGATAAATTTAGCTGTACTATGGTTATTTTTAATCTACAACCACAGGACAACCTGATTTTTAGTCCCTACGAAATTAATTTAACCACGAGTAAGTAACGAGAACGCTAAAACCTATGTTTCCATTGAAGAATATTGTAAAAACGTATAAATTGTTATATGTAATGTTGTAACAAATTGTTGCAAGTATAAATTTATACCAAAAAATTGTGAGAATTAATAAATTATACGTTATTATAACATTACAATAGAAATCAAAATAGAATTACGAAAGAATCGGCGATTTTCTGCGAAAAATAATTGATTCCCGCGAAAAACGAAGGATTTCCCGCGAAAAGTGACCGATTCCCGCGAGAAATTATCGATTTCCCGCGCAAAGT